TTTCTTTCTTTCTTTCTTTCTTTCTTTCTTTCTTTCTTTCTTTCTTTTTCCTTCCTTCCTTCCTTCCTTCTTTCTCCTTCCAGTTTCATTGAGATATAATTGACATACAGCACCATGTAAGTTTAGGGTACACAGCATAATGACCTGACCCACATGCACCATAGGATGATCACCACAATAAATCGAGCGAACATCCATCATCTCATAGAGATAGAAAATAAAAGAAAAAGAAAAAAATTTCCTTGTGATGAGAACTTTTAGAATTTACTTTCTTAACAACTTTCATATATAACATACAGCACTGTTAATTATATTTATCATGATGTACGTTACATACCTAGTATTTATTTATCTTATAACTGGAAATTTATACCTTTGACTACCTTCATTCAATTCCCCCACCCCCAGCCCCCTGCCTCTGATAACCACAAATCTGATCTCTTTTTTCTACGAGTTTGTTTGTTTTTGAAGTATAATTGACCTACAACACTACACAGTTCCTGGTGTACAGCAGTGATTCAATATTCCCCTACACTACAAAATGATCACCGTGAAAATCTAGTTACCATCTGTCAACACACAAAGGTATTACATTATTATTGACTGTATTTCCCACACTGTACATTTCGTACTCATGACTCATGTATTTTGTAGCTGGAAGTGTGCACCTCTTAATCTCCCTCACCTATTTCTCTCCTATTTCAATGGGGTTTTAAAATAAGGGTGGTTCTAGTATTAATTACTTTAAAAAATTATGATATATTTACTGTTACAAGTATAGATAACAAAACAAAAACATCAGTATGTCTTTCATAGGGAATTATAAATAAAATCCAAATTAATATAGTTTTTTGGGGGGATATGGGATGCAGATGAGTAAATTTAATGAATATACAGGGTGAATTATTGGGTTAAAATAAGGAGAAAAGCAGTTACGTGTATTTCTCCGTTGACTTCTGTATTGCTATGTATTCTTATCCACTAACTCCTGCATCCTTTCAGGAGAGGGGATTTGTGTCCACTTTTAGGCACTGCAATTGCTGCAAACATAGACAAGTCCCTGTAGGAAGACTCCTGCATGGATGTGCTTCTCCATCCCATGGACTCATGACATTGGAAGGAGGAAGAGAGCTGAATGACTCCAGGAAACCACCATGATGTTTGTAAGACTGGGCTTTCCATTTTGGGGGAATGAGGGAGTGTGGGTGTAGTTTTAGGGAGTTGATGGAATGTCTACTAACTGCATCATCACAGGAGAAAGCAACTGAAATGTGGACTAGTTGATTTGGTAGAGGAATTAGCTAAAATTTCTAGGCATTTCTTTATGTAGGAGCTGAGTAAGTTGAATATTTTGAGCCCAAGTTACAGAAAAACCTCCTATTACAGAAAAATTGGGTGATGTATATGTATACCATAACTTTGTTTTGAATTAAGATTCTGAATTTAGCTTTTCCCCGGAAACTCCAAGATAACTAGAAATTTCAAAAAGAAATACTGCAGTCCTTTGGTTTGAAGGGGTTAGGTCATGGGCTCTTAAAAAACAGTTTCTTTCTTATTGTTCTGCTTGTTGCTTTTTTCATTCTACATTTTATATATATATATATATATATATATATATATATATATATAT